GGCAGAAGGCCGCCCACCAAGAGCCGGGGTCTGTCGGAGGTTTCTTCCATTAAAGACAGTTTCTGCTCCCTGCTATCGCCAAGTGCTTGCTCAAGGGGGATTTGTTGGGGTTTCCTCTATAATAATAATAATATTAATAATATTACTTTGTAAAGTGTCCTGAGATGACATTTGTTGTGATTTGGCGTTATACAGATAAAATTGAATTGTTCCCTACTGGTACATGACAGGAATAATATTACAGTGAGTGACTGGTTTGGATTGCAGAAGGTGCAGTTAACTGCCTGTACTGCTCTTTTTGGTCACCAGATGGAGGCAACAGGTGAAGAAGAGCTGGTCAGAGAAGCTGATCACCTTGCAGCATGTAATGGACCCATAAATGAACTGTTGAATGTGGGACAAGAAGGCAACATACAGGACCAGGTGAGTTCAGCTGCCTTGCAAAAAACTAACCACAGTGATTCTCTGGTTTTTCAGGTCACACTTTTCCATGATGAAATATTACCACATTCAATCTGATGTTGCATATCTTTATTTTACCTTTGTTCCTTAGATGGAGGATTTTTTGAGTCCACAGTCAGAGTACAATGAGGAGGAGGAGGAGAGGAAATACTACAGGAGGAAGAGGCTGGGGGTCATCAAGAATGTCCTTGCTGCCAGTGTTGGAGCCATGATTTTGTACAGTGTGTACATGGGTGAGTTTGTCAATGAAACGGAGAGAGAAACACACACAAACAGGGAGGTGTGGCTCTCACATGTTCTTTTACATTTAATTCTGTGTGTGTGTGTGTGTATGCATGCTCCAGGCCTTCTGCAGATGCAGCTGATCCTCCATTACGATACGACCTACCGTGAGGTCAAGTACAGCAACCTTGGCCTGGAGGACATTGACCATAAGATGTTGATGGGCATCAATGTCACGCCCATCATAGGCCTGTTGTACACTCCCATACTCATCAGGTAGCTGCACACACATAAACACAAATGATAAAACCTTTCTTTTTATCTGAATGTCTTTGCTCTGCTCTGTATGTATCTCTCTTTCAGGTTTCTTGGTACTAAGTGGATGATGTTTCTGGCATCAGGAATCTACGCACTCTTTGTCTCAACCAATTACTGGGAGCGTTACTACACCTTGGTTCCATCAGCTGTAGCAATCGGTGTGGCCATTGTGCCGTTCTGGGCCTCCTTGGGGAATTACATTACAAGGTGAGAAACAGGATGTTGGGAGGGTGGGTGTTTGAGGATGCTTCGTCAGCGGCCAAAGCTTGACCATGACCAGTGTAGCTAGCTGGAATCTTACTGGATAGATGACTCCTCTCTTCCTTTCAACACACTTACAGTATACGTCAGCTTCATCTTCACTGATGTAACAGTTCATAATCTTGCTATAAACATAAATATTTCTAATGCACTGCCTAAAAATAATCATGTAGCCACATTTAACTGAAAAACTTGATATAACAATTTTCTTGACCATTTCTAGTACTTAAGAATATCCTTCAAAACTATTAAATAAGTGCAAATCAATGACATAAACCATATTGACACAGAGCTTAACAACCTGCTTCTGACCCACATACACGGAATTAACACAGAAAATGTGACTGACAGTGAACAGGCAGCTGATGTAGTCTACACTGGTGCTGCAGCTGCTGGTTGCACACTGGTTGGCTGTAACTGTGCCAACTGTACAGTTAATACAAGTGCATGTAGCAGTACTATTTACAGTTATTGCAGAGTCCTGTTGCTTCAGTCATAGTTAGCTGTTCATCAGAGTGATGGACCCCGGGGAAGAAACTGTCCTTGTGTCTGGTTGTTTTGGCGCAAAGTGACCTGCAGCGCCCTCCAGAGGGGAGGAGTTTGAACAGTTTTTGTCCAGGGTGTGAGGGGTCTGCAGAAATCTTCTCTGCCCTCCTTTTAACCCATGAGGTGTACAGGTCCTCCATGGGGGGCAGGCTGGCACTGATGATTCTTTCTGACTGGGAGTCTGTTCCTGTCCTGTTTGGTTGCTGAGCCAAACCAGACAGTGATGGAAGAGCAGAGAACAGACTCGATGATTCCTCTGTAGAACTGTATCAGCAGCTTCTGGGGTAGATATGCTGAAATGTCTGCATTTCAGCTTTATGAAGTATTAAAGTTATATTTTGAGGCATCTTTCAGGGTGCAGAAGCACTCTGTAAAAAAACGAATTCCCTTATTTATTACAGTATTTATTATTTATACAGTACAGCAAACCAGTGCCAGAAAAGTCAAGGACAGGTGCCAATTAAATCCTGGTGCTGTGTACTGTTGGAACATCTGAATAAGTCATTAAGGTGTCCATGCTGAGGTAGTGATGCATAATATTACATGTGGTTGTGCAGACATGACTGTGTGTGCGAGTGTGTCTGAGCAGGAAATATTTGCCTCAAGAGGCTTTACAAAGTTACTCCCTTTGTGTGGTCGCTAGTCCAGCTTGAATACTGACACTATTGCTGAAAGGCCTCAAACACATATTTTCTGTGCTTAATTACTTAGGCTGATACCAATACATCTATGACAAGATGAAATCAGCCAATACTGGTCATGATTAGTAGAGCTCTTACATGACATGTACTGATTTGTGGGTCTTTAAAAAAACAGCCTGATTTTTGAGCTGCACATTATATACACCAAACTTGTATAGCTTATATTTCCATGAGGGCCACATATTGTAATTGCTCAACTAATAGTAGATCTGTGCTAACGTACTGTGTCAGTCAATAACAACAAAACTCTAACAAACTACAAAAGCCACAGAGTGTTTTTGTCTGTTCAGAGGGAGGTGTAACGATTCTTCATTTTGTCTTGATCAATACAAGGCTCAAAGAACAATTTACCAGGCCCTTTGTTGAAATTCTGTTCAACTATGTAGTAGCAGGTTGTCAAGCTGAGATCTTCACCATTTCACCATGTTTTTTTATATTGCTGTTTGTATTGTTTTGTTGCTTTTCATCAGATTAATTCAAACTTTGAATTTTGAGCATACATGTGAATGCACACACAGCCACACAGACCTTAACTCACACATACCTGATTGTACATGATAAGCGCAAGATATTTTTTTTAACAAAGGTGTCATTGTTTGTGTGAATTTCTCTTCTCACTCCTCACACATGTAGAATGGCCCAGCAGTACTACGAGTATGTCAACTACAAAGAAGAGCACGTGCAGGAGCAGAAGAAGCTTCCTAAGGGAGCGTGCCACAACTACATCATCGTCTTTCAGTCAATCTTCCACATCATCTTCCACGTGAGTTGTCAGCCTTGTTTAAAATTCATACTGTGCCCAGTGTTTAACATCAGAAAAGACATTTGTACTGCTGCTGGAAACAATAGAGTGTTCCATGTTTTCTCTTCTTCATCAGCTGAGTTTTGTGTTTGCGGAGTTCCCCATGATTCTTGTCCTCAACGGCTACCTGCGTGAAAAGGACCACATTCTCTGGAATGTCAAACATTGCGGTAAAGACACACCCACTGTACCTCCACAGATGAATGTTTAAAGACATATAAGCCCGCACCAAAAGTGTTTTGAGGATTATGTCCGTTTTATCTAACGAGTTCTAAATTGTTAACATTTATGAATATGTAACTGTAACTGCAAAAAGTCACAATTACAGGATCATGGTAAATGTTAAAACACGATGTCACAGTAGCACGGTTAGCAGAGGTTGTAAGCTGCTGGTCATATCATACCAACTGAGACTGTAGCTGCAAAACCCCCACGTGCATTGAATTGAGTAAAGGCTCATTTTATTATGTCTCTGCACTGACGATAGCAGTGGCTGGAGGCATTATGTTTTCAGGTTGTCCGTTTGTCCGTCCCATTCTTGTGGACGTGATATGGAATGCCTTGAGGGAATTTTTTTCAGACTTGGCACAAACATCCACTTGCAGTCAAGTTCTATTCATAACTATGACCCCAAATCATAAAAAGTTGGAACAGTATGTAAAATCAAACTGCTTTCCTGTCCCAGCTTTTTTTGGAATGTGTTGCAGCATCAGAATTAAAATGAGTGTTTTTTTTGAACAAAGAATAAAATTAATGAGGTATCACATAAAATAATGTGTTGCTCTATTGTTTTCAATGTAATACAGGACACAGATGATTTACACATCACTATTTTCAGTTTTAATTTTGATTTTACATAACGTCCCAACTTTTCTGACTTAACACTTGCCAGAAAAGATTTACAATTCAAGACGATACAGATACAACAAACTGCATTCAGTTTAAACCAATAGCTGTTCCAGTAAATATTTGTACATAAATAATGGCTCAAGTTAATATGTGAAATGTGAAACTGATATCAGTATCATTTGCAGCCACAGCAGGCAGTTGTTTTTTACAGGAAAGTGCTAACAAAGACACATTACACCTTTTGTCCAGCACCAAACAACAAACAGGCAAAGTTAGTGACCAGCTGGTGAACAATGTAGAACATTAAAGTTACATTCTTGCTTCCTTTTTATTTTAAACAAACATAAAGGAAACGGAACTGGAGAGAGGCTCACACCATCACATGACCACAGAAAACCTATTTCAAATACAAAACCATGATCACACATACATCCTGCTTTTACTGTAAACTGCTGCTCTGTTAATTTTTCATTCACCTTCTTTCACTGAACATTTTAGCCACTTATTGCCACTTTGTGTTTTTCCGAGGGTCATACCCTACCTCTCCAAAAAATTTCATCCAAATTCGTTCATTACTTTTTGACTTGTTAACAAAAAAAATAAACAAGGCACAACATTTACATGAGCAAATCTATGAGGCAGTTACTGTATACTGTGCATCTTACCAGAACATTTCAGGGTTCTATCTCCATTATTGGCCATGTTATGGCAGACAATATGTGTTAAATAGGTTAAACAGGGCTTCGGAGCTCCACAAATGGTGGCTTTGTCTTGTTCCGGTGGTGGTGGTTTGGGGTGGGAGCATCACCAGTACACTCCTAGTCTTTTGCTCTTGTCTAATATCTGAGCCTTCCTCTTGCTCTGCCAGGTGCAACAGTCAGTGGAATAATCCCAGGCATCAACACCACGGTGCTGACCAACCTGCCTAGCTCCATGCTGCTCATCAAGGTGGAAAGTGTCCTCATGGGTTTTGCCTTCCTCACCATGATCATTGTAAGATCTCAAATTGCTGCTACACACACCGACACATCTAACTGCTCTGGTGTGTTTAGCCCATTATTTTTGCACAAATCATCTTGTGTGTACTGAGTTGCTCATATCTGCTGTGAGAGTTCTTGGAAAAGAAAGAAGAAATCGAAGCTATTGCTGGTTTACAGTACTGTGCATTTAAAATCTAACATAAAAAAGAGGCTTTCACACTTCTAAAGATGTCTCAGAATTCTTTCTCGCTTTTTCTTCACACCTGCAAAAAACGTCTGTCTCTCTGCTCAGCAATGTAAGGAAGTGAAAATATAAATAAAGAATAAATAAGACAGAATTCTGAGACATCTTTCAGAGTAAGAAATCCACCTTGTCTGTCTTTCAGTAGTTTCCCTTGTGAAGTCTACCTGACTAATACCGAAATTAGCAGTACTGTGCAACTGAAATGTATGTCAAACCAAAGCTAAATATAGCTACACAGTAGATATTGCTTCTTCTGTTCAGTGCATCATTATGTGGGATTATTTTAAACTCAAGTTGAAACAGATTTTAAAGAGGTTTCAGTCATGAGTGATCTGGTGCTTGTCACTGAGCTGTTGGGTAGTTTCATTGTGTCACTGCATGTGTCACATGCTGTTCTTCCATGTCTAATTTATTGTTGCATTCTGTGTATTTGTATAAAGGCAGGGACAGGCATTTCATAGCTTTGCCTATAAATGCTGTTGTATGACGCACTGGTTCATGCTGTATACTCCTACCTATGAATCACTGAATAAATAGCTAACAATTAACCATTATTATCCACCGAACAGCTCCAGAGTTAAAGGATCTTCCATTTTTTTATATTTCTATAGATCATGTTCTACTCAGAGCTGAAACCTATCCTAGCATGCACTGGTTGAGCCTGTCAGTTTTGAAAGCTGTATTACTAGCTGAGCTGCAGTAAGCATACTATGTATGTATTCAAGCTTAGTTTTCAATTTAAGGACTAATACCAGAGATCAGGTGTGCTGTACTTTGTAGCTGGTTATATTGTGTCATGACGGGCTGGAGAGAGCTTCCTTGTTGATTACAGTGTGGCAAAGCTTGCACAAAACATAGTGTTGATTCCAAATAATTCAACATAAAATGATTGCTGCTTACCCACAGTTCCTTGTCCTGTGTGGTGCTGCCTACCGTCCGACAGAAGAGATTGACCTTCGCAGCATCGGCTGGGGCACCATCTTCCAGCTGCCCTTCAAACACCTGAGAGACTACCGCCTGCGACTGCTCTGCCCCTTCTTCATCTACAGTGGCTTTGAAACACTGTTTGCAGTCACTGGATTCTCCCTGGTACTGTACTGTCATTGTTGTTGGTAGTACTAATGGTACAGTAGCTTTTGCTTGCATCGCTCCATTTGTTTAGTGTCTCTGGTTAATATGAATGAAATAATAAAATTAGAGGAGCAGTCAGATTGTAGTAAGAAAGATGGGAAATACATAAAATGTGTATGTTTCATTTAATTTCTTTCTTTCTTTCTTTCCCTCCCTCCACAGTCATATGGCGTCTGTGTTCTGGGCCTGAAAAAACTGTGGCTCCTTGTATTTGTCTATGGCCTCTCCTGCTCCGTCTTTTCCTCCCTCTCCCTCTCTTTACTACGCATCCCGCGTTGGACGTGTCTGGTGGGAGGTGCTGTTGTGCATTTTATATTGCTGGTGGTTCTCCTGGTGTTGTCTCCATCTCCATCCAATACACTTGATAAATCTTCAGTTTACCTGGTCCCTCTGCTGGTGATCTCAGTACTGTGGGGACTTGGCACTGCCCTGAACAAGACAGGCGTCAGCAGTGAGTAACAGCTGTGGTTGAGGTGTCTGTACATACTGTGCACTAAATGTGTTCACACATGACATGTGGCAGCGTGAATTCCTCTTTCTGTGTGTGTATGTGTGTCAGCTCTGCTTGGTATGCTGTATGCTGAGGAAAAAGAACGCCTGGACTTTGTCTTCACCATCTATCACTGGTGGCAGGCCATTGCCATCTTTGTTGTCTACCTCTGGTCCAGACTGCCTATGAGGGTATGTGACTTTGTGTGTTTAGAAAGCATTTAGTGTGTTTGTGTCTTGAGTTCTGCAAGAAAGCAACCATTTGATCCACTTTTAAAAGGAAAAGTTCCTATTTTTTCCTTTCTTCAGGCCAAACTGTCCATCCTGTTGGCCACTTTACTGCTGGCCTGCTACTGCTATTGGGTGATGGAGCGCCGGCTGGCCATGGACGTGCGCCCCAGACTGCCTCGCATCCCTCGGCCACGGCACAAGGTGAGCAGTCACAGTGAGTCGTAACCTCAGCACATTCAGTTTGTTAGACAGAGATTACACTGCCCAGAGTGAAAATGTCTGAGTGGAGATCTCTGAAAAACTGCAACTAGGAGTTCACTTTCCACTGAGGCCAGGTATGGTCAAGTAGCACTCAGTGTACAGCTTGGTGACATAGAAGAATCAAAACAAATCAGTGTGTACTTATGCTGTTATGTGCTTTATGTATCCAAGTGCAAACAGAAAACCATAGATACGTTAGCTGCATATGTGAGTAGCTTTCAGTAGAATGATAAAAGCTGAACTCAAGTCCACTATATTTTTGCAGCAGCTTCAGAAAGTGTTCAGACCCCTTCACCTTTCTGATGGAAAGGCATGTTTTGTCCATCAGTCTACATTCAGTGATCCCTAATGACAAAGTGAAGATTTTAGAATCTGATGGCATCACCTTGTGGCTGTAAGGAATTGTGACTGGCATTTTTTATGACTTTCTGACATTTTATAGAGCAGCTGATTAATCGATTGCTTGGTGTAACTGCTTTATTGTAAACAATCAAACTGGTGACTAAAAAAAGTGATATAAAATATCATTTGTGTCCACAGGTCAAAGGCTATCGATACCTGGAAGAGGACAACTCAGATGAATCAGACTCTGAGAGAAGTGAGGATAATGTCAGAGATGATGAGGAGGAGAGGGAGGAGGATGAAGAGCGTGTGGTGGAGGAGATGGAAGCAGAGGGCAGGGAGGAAGAGGGCCAAGACACACAGTCCCTTGGAGGTGACTCACCCAAAGCCAGGCAGAGAGGGGCCAGAGGTCACCGTCACAGATAGGAGGACGCCCATGTGAAGTGGGGAGAGGGGGGTGAGAGAGGAGAAAAGCAGGCAGATGGGGGAGATAGCAGGCAGATGACCAGGATACACGAGAGGAAGGGGGTGCGTTTATGATTCCATGCATATTGGTACAGATATTTATACTTCGTCAGTCTGCATATTGGTACAGATATTTATACTTCATGTCAAATTACTGCACCAAACAAAACATGTTTTTTGACATAATCTTTATTTAAAAAGTTCTAATCACATGTTCAGCTATAATCACAGTAGTCATCCAGATGAAAAGGTACAGATACCAGAGGAACTGTACTGCTATAACTATAACTATAACAGTCGTGAAGGGTAGCCCACACTGGTTAAAACAAGACCACACCTCAAAACACAAGTACCTTTGATTTTGTTTTACTGCACAGCACCAAATGTGTTAATAATTATAGAGGACATGGGCAGCTGCTTTTGTGTTTCATCATTCAACATAATCTGTAATAACTGTTTACCTTATGTTATGCTCATTTGTTAGAGAAAACAAGCTAATACATGTTATAGTCAGAAGCTCAGACGTGCCAGTTGGAAGGAGTTAAGCATGATTTGTGTAGAATTAGAATATGAAGCTAGGAGTATGATTTAGTGTAGCTCATTATGCAGCTGGTACAGAGGTCAGTCATAATGGCTGATGCCACTAGGGTACGCATTTCAGTAAACAGTGGATTCAGCTGTGTTACTACTGTGGACTGTTTCAAATAATGACGCTACACTTGCAAACAATCCAATTCTATTCAACGACTTGTTGGTAGGAACAAAGGGATCCAAGTCTTTTTTCAAGTTATTTCTTGATTGTTTCGTGGCGGTAATGTTCTGAAGCACAAATGAACATAGCCAAACCTCCGCACAACCCTGCAGGAAGGATTTTACACTGATGAGCCATAATATTATGACCATCTGCCTAACACTGTGTGCACAGGAGTCAATGTGGGAGTTGGTTGGTACTGCAGCTCACTGTGCATCTTCAATGAATTCATTTGCTTCCATAATTCTTAGGAAGAGCACAGATGTGTCGACTATTCACTGAAAAACGAATGTAAAAGGAGTGAAAACTGGTCGTGAGGACATGTTTTAGACCAGTTCAACAGCTTGCCCACTTTAGCCATGACATTACCACTAGAGCTGCTCAGTGTTTCTCTTCATAGAGACCAGCGTACATTATTTCTCATTTTCATAGTTAGCATGGCCTAAAAACAGGATTAGATCATGTCTTGAAAATGCACATGTATCAGGGAGTCCAAGGGCCCTTAAAAGCCATAAAAAGCACCATACAACATGTCAGTTTAAGGCCTAAAAGTATTAAAAAGTCTTAGAGTAGTCTTCAGTTTCCAGTGTCGAGGGACACGCGAATAGAACACCATTTGTTATGTTATTTCTAACACAAGTCATGTCAAAGTGCTTTAACAACAGTCTATTAATTTGGGGTTGAGATCACTGCAGGATTAGTTGAAAATCTATATGGACCTCTTGCTGTTTCATTAAAAATGTCTTTTGTTTTACAAACCATTTATAGTTTAAGATTAAGAAGTGATGTCATTCTGAGTTAAAACTATTCTGAATGTACCATTTTTTTCCTTCAGGACCACAGCCTGTCACATTTTCATACTGGCCAGATATTTCCTGTATTTTTTTTTAGGTGCTGTTCTCAGACAGTCAGGTCAAGGTTTGTTCACCTATCGTTTCGTCTGGTGAAATTAACCTAGTATGAATTTCTTTTTAAACCAGCTGTAGGAGGGAGGAATAAACTCCTCATCTGTTAGTGGATATTTAACATTTCATTTTGTAATGAAAAACCTTTTAGTGAACTGATGCCAAAGGTATTTGATGTTGCACTCATCCCCATGAAGTTGTAAAGATATGTAATGCATTGTTAGTAATTCTGTTGCTGTGCTCACAGGAATACATTTTTTATTTCTCTCTTGATCACATCTGTACATTTACCTAACGATTGTGCTGGAATTATCTGTTGCTGTCTGTGATTGTATTTCTCTTGACAGGTGTGTGGCATGTTGTCAAAGTCATCCTACTGTATAGTGAGCTTGAAAAACGACGTTTAAGCTGTAAAAGGAGCATCAGAAATACAGCATCAATTTCTAGTGTTGCTGCTGGTGCTTTAACTTAAAATATGAAGTTAGTTCTAACTAATCAAAATGCTGTTGAATAATTAAACAGCAAATTTTTAGCCTATGTGTTTTGCCTTTAAAATATTTATCACTGTGCTGGTTTAACTTTCTGCTGGTGTTTCTGAGATGCTTGATCAATATGGGCCATGGAGTGAAAAAGTTTCACAAGGAAACAAACATCGTGCCAGTGCCTCGACATTGTACTTGTGTACAAATGCTACTTTGTATAAAAAAGCTTATGACAAGAGAATTGCTGTCATCATAGTTTCACAACAGCATTTATTGCTGTTCTGTTCTCTCAGCACTGAAATGATATGTGGATTACAGGAATTACAGGAAATCATGTTCTGATTTTGAACTAGTCTCTGGTTAATAACAGAAAATTGGAATATGAGCTATGATAAAGATACAGCTGCTAAGTCACTGATGGTTTGTGTTGTAATTGTGGTCCTGTCTAATGCTACTGTCAGTCCTGACCTGTTGTGCCTGATGTGTCTGATGGACTGACTGGATCTTGGGGGCCGGTCAGTGGGAGCCCCAGTTGCTCCAGTGGTGACAGTCCCCATTGTGTCTGTCAGACTCCATTATGTACTGCTGGCCTCTGTTTCTTGTGTAGCTGTACATAGACAGAGGCAGAAGAAGAAAATTAACTAAAAAGCTGAATTGAATTTTTATGACTTGTGTCACATAATATTCTCCCGGTGTCTCTCTGGTATTTAACTCCACTTGAGCCACCATTGGGCCAATTATTCGAACTATAGTCTGACTAATACTAGATCTTTGAGGCTAATACCAGTACTTGTTAAGTAAACAATCTGATAATGACATATAAGATCAATATTTGTTGCAATATTTAGACTGACCTGACATCATGGTTTTGAGTTGTTCACTCAGTTTAAGTGTAATCTAGCTTTGAGAAAGTGTTGGAGCAAGTGTGACTGGTGGAGTTTAAAGATTTTCTTTCTAACACTTACAAGGGAGAAAAAATTTGCACTCTAGGAGTTAAAATCCAGAGTGTGAGTGAGACAATTAAACTGATGAGGCTACAATATACTGCATAGTGAAAGGCATCACATTAAGAGCATAGCTGTATGTGTACAAATCACTTTTTTAATGAGAATGGAAAAATTATTCATACCTGAATGCTTCAGGTCATGATTTGCCACCTAAAATTGTCATTGTCCTGCCCCGCTGGCTTCCGGTTTTCCCTGCTTTTATTCTGAAAATACTTCCTGTCACCAGCTCATCCAAAACCCCGGTAACTTCAGTTCATCATGCACATTGGTTTCACCTGCCACTAATCACCCACACCTGTTCACCACAGCATATAGCAGCTCCTCACACTGTGAGAAGCTGCCAGATTGTTCTATGCCTTGTCTAGACTCTCCAGCGTTTTCTTCTGACTGCTTTCCTGGTACCGGACCCTTGCCTGCTTGAACGACCTGTGATCCAGCCTGCTCCCTCTTGTCTGACTGCCAACCTGAGATCGACACCCTGCCTGTTCAACCAACCTGTGATTCTGCCTTTGCTGCCCTGCTGGAGACTTCGACTCTGGACTGTATTAAGTACCACCCTTCTGCCTGATCCCCCAAGACTGTGTGTGTTTCTGCTGAAATCACAAAAGGACATTAAAGTCTGTTCTACCACTTCAGCTGACTGGCTCTTTAATTGGGTTCAGTCCTCTATCTTCACGGGAGCGTCACTCACCTCCCTGACAAAAATGCTGGAACTCTGGTGCTATGACTACATTAAGAATACAACCCCAAATCAGAAAAGGTTTGGATGGTATGTAAAATCAAAATTAAAACTGAAAATAGCAATGTGTAAATCATCTGTGTCCTGTTCCATTAGAAACAGGTGATGTAAACAAGTGACTACAATCATGATTTGGTACAAAAGTGGCATCCAGGAAAGGCTGAGCCCTTTAGGAGCAAAGATGGGCCGAGGACCACCAGTTTACCAACATATGTGTGAGAAAATTATTGAAATGTTTAAAAACAATGTTCCCTAAAAAA